ACACCAGTTAATTCATATATATATATATATATATATGAATATATATTATATATACACCCCACACACACATATATATATATATACACACACTGATAAACACACACACATATATTCTTATGTTGTCAATATCCGCATATCATTTTAAATACATAAATGTATGTATGTTTTTAAACATATATATCTTCCATAAAGTGTCTCCCGTATGTAGTGTTATCAGAAAAGCTGACTTCATTTTATATATCGGCACCTTTGGAAAAACATTATTAAACCATTATTTTGACTCAACCCTGTGTGCATGTTTTCGAAGATTGGCCGGCCGAACTCCTGAGTTTTTGGTGAATGTCCTTTTCAGATCTATTTAGTTCGGGTTTAAATTTGTCTATAAAGTTTTTAAAAACATATTGTGCGTATTGTAAAATAATGATTTAAAGAACGGATTGGCTATTACCCTAAAAATCGTGTAATTTTTGTTTATATATATCATATAGGCATGATATTAAACTTACCCTGGTTAAGATTTGGGTGCCGCAAATTTTGTTGGTTTGATAGACAAAAAAATTTTTGTTTTACATAATTTCAAAACACGTGTTTCTGGTCTATCAATCTTTATTTTACATTGAATTTTGTTAATGGGAATATTCTCGACCCTGTTTGTGTTCAAAGTTTTCTAGTTGGTTCTGCATTGATGCCTATATGTCCAGACTTCTTCTTTTAATGTTTTATTTTCTTGGTTTCTATTTTCTGTCGGCGTTTAATACCATAACAAATAAACCAATTTGAACTAGAGTAAAAAAGTGTGTTGTAGTTTCCAGTTTACATTTAGATCCAAAATGTAGACATAAGTCCGGATTGCATAACTAAATATGATAAACAGACCAGAGTTAAACAAGAGTAAAATAAGAAGCACGTTTTTTGGTTGCATTTTGTACAAAAGACTCCTGTAGGCCGGTTTGCGCAAAGAACTAAATTTATTTTAACTGGGGTAAAAAATTGTAATATGTGATTAAGACTTCGCAAAAATAGACAGGTTCGGTTTGCACTTAGGCAAAATGATTTAAAGATCATTTTAAATTGGGTTTAAAAAAAGGTGGGTCAGTTTAGGTTTCTTGCCATAAAAAAAGTAAACATATGTCGAATTTATATTGCAAATTTGGCAGACCCTGTTTTCAGTTGGGGAAAAATATATTTCTTTTTTGACCATTAAAAAGTAAACATTTGGATTTGCAGTTTAAGTTTTTTTAAAGAATGTTTTTTGGGTTTTTCAAAAGTATGGGTTTTTCCTTCTATAATGATGTCTAAAACTCCATCTTTTTGTTGCATTTGTGACTCCCTGTATTTTGTGTTGACTAAATTTAGATGAGGTTAATATGTGTTTTAGGTTTCTAGATTGGCGTTTGCTCTTAATTATTTTGGTTGTTTTAGTATATTATTCAGTTTATTATTCTTGCTAAAGTAAATCTAGATTTTTGTGATTTCTGGAATATTTCTGGGTTGTTTTGTTGTACGTTGAGACATATGCTAGGTTTTGTTCGACGTTACGTTTCTTTTTATTTCTAAGTTGGTCTAGAGGAATTTTCGCGAGTTCAATACTTTATTTATTAGTGTTGTGGGGGTAGCCTCGTTTTGGAGAGTTTTATGTAGTTCTTCTAAGCGGATTTTTCCGGAGATGTTTATCAGTCACTATTGTACAAATTCTACGTGCTAGGGAATAGGGGATGGATTTTAGGCAGCTTTTTTGATGATGGCTCTTGAAATGAACGTATTGTTGGGTGTCTGTGGGTTTTGTGGTAGATATCTGTGATTATGTGGTTGTTTTATTTCTAATGAGTATATCTAAAAATGGTAATTCGTTAAAATTATATTCTTGCGTGAATTTGATTTTTTGGGTGTAAGTTTTAAGTAGTGTATGGAATTGGTTAATATCACCCCCATGATGATTTCCAAAAGATGAAGCAATCATCTAGATATCTTTTTCCAAGATTTAGTGAATTGGGTCTTTATATTTGTCCCATATATTTGTTCTATCTTTTCATAGAGGTTTTCTTCTAGGTAAGCTAATGTTAGGGTGGCATATGTTGGTGCCATTTTTGTTCCCATCGCAGTACACAGGGTGACCAAATACAATGATCGCTCACATACATGGACGCACACTCATATACGGGAGACACGAGGAGAGATATATATATGTGTATGTACACATACATACATTTATGTATGTATATGCGGATGTTGACAACTTAAGACGTGTGTGTGTGTGTGTGTGTGTGTGTGTGTGTATGTATGTGTGTGTGTATGTGTGTGTACTGGTTCCATGTAGCTTGGTAAATATGTGTGTATATGTGTGTGTGTACTGACTACTTGTGGTGGGATAGTGTGTATGTGCGTATGTGTGTGTATGCGTGTATAAGTACAAATAAGTTTACGAATTCCTCGTAGTAAGGAAATATACGCGCATATATACACGCATGCTGACAAGGAACACGCCAAAATAGAAACAGATCCAGATTGTATAGAGGTCACTAAAACATTAAAAAAGATTAAATGCCGATAACTACTCGCTGGACAAACCTTAATTGTTTTATGACCCTTCACCAGAACTCTTCATTGACAATTCTAGAAAGAAAATTCGGATTGCCAACACACAAACAGAATGTCTCATATCGAGAATATTCCACATTGAACATGAAGAAAAATTAATTATTTTTTAATAATATGTAAAATCTCCACTTTCACCTGAAGACGGTTGCGAGACCAGACCAGAAACACGTGTCGTGAAATTATAAAAACAAAGTATAATATTTTTCTCAATAAATCCATATTACAACCAAAACGTTTGCGGCACCTCTTCTTTTTTAATATATATATATATATATATATATATATATCAAATATGGTGTAGTTCAATTTATATTACAATGAATCATTCATACAAAAATAGATTAGTAAAGTTAATGATATAAAATGGCGTAATCCTTTCGTAAACAAAATTTTAGAGGTGCATTAACCTACAAATCACTTGATGAATGTTATGATCATTGTTTTTAAAAATTATAAACTGTATAAGGTCTTTCTCTAATACGCAAGTACTTTCTACTGTACATTCAGTCATCCTCATGCATGGAAATTATTTTGTTTTTTGGTAAAATTCAAATAGCATCCGAAATGAAAAAATTAAATGCCAATCAAAGTTTTTTTTAAAAAATGTGTTATTGTTAACGGATACAAATATTTTGAAGCGTGCAGTCGCAACGCTAAAGTTGAACTTTTTTTTTTTTAAATATAAGAGAGTGAGAATTTTTTGTTGTGGTTGTAGGTGTTTATCAGTCAATGTGGCATGAACTAAATAGTTCAATAAATGGGGTAATGTCTCAGTTGTTATCCCGAACGTTGGATCAGTTCTTTTAAATCAAATATGTGGTGCAGTTCGATTTATATTACACGAATCATTCATATAAATATATATATATATATATATATATATATATATATATATATATATATATATATATATATATATATATATAGGTAGGTCTGATGAATTGGATCGTGATTACGATTCAATGTAATAAATTATAACCATGGAGTATTAGTGTTTGATCCTTATATATATATATATATATATATATATACAGTGTTATTAAAAAGAATTTTAATACGTAATATTTTAATAAAGAATAGCAATAGAAAACCCCAGCCAAGTCATAAGAATTTTACTCACAATCAACTTTTATTTATTTGTCTTACAAGTGTTCAATGTAGCCACCATCTGCAGCACGGACAACATCAATGCGATAAGAGAATTCCTCCCAGTTGCGTATCAGCATATCACGATCCACTGAGTTGGTTACTGTTGTTATTCGATGTTTAAGATCATCGAGGTTAGTCGGTAGCGGTGGAACATAAACGTAATCCCACAAACAGACAAACAAAAAAAATCACACACGGTGAAGTCTAGAGACCTCGCAGGCCAATCACAAAGAGCAAGGTCTTGGTAATTGTCTGAACGAGGCCTAGTCTGTAAGATTTCTAATGTAGACATCTGAGCACACACCCGACAGTGGATTGAGAGATCGCAAGCTCACGGCCAGCTCGATTTGTAGACTTCTGTGGACTCCCCTCAAACGCAGCACGGATTCTTGTCACTTGTTCCTCTGAAACTCGTGGTCATCCTGGATTTTATACCTTTATACAGACACCCACTCTCTTAGAACTGTTTAAACCACCGTCGAATGTTCTTTGAAGAGGGCGGATTAATGTCGAATTGCCTTCGAAAAGAACGCTGCACCGTGACAAGCGTATTTGTTTTCGCGAACTCGAGAAGGCAGAACTCGCCTTTTGATGAGGACTCGCCATCCCGACGGTGAACAAACAAGTGAACGTTGCCGGAGATACGACCCGGCTACAGCGCCCCTGTAGCAGCTATTCAAAACTTAGAAAACTTTTCTTTTAAATGGTCACTGACTAATTTCATGACAATACTTAAGAACTGAAGCAATGCGCCATGAAACTGTTCATTCTTTTTGAATAACCCTACACACACACACACACACACACACACACACACACACACACACACACATTTTCTTTGAATATAACGCACAAAATCATATTTTTATTTATTTTTAAAAGTTCTTTTTTTTGAATATAACAGGACACGAATTGAAAATCTGATGATTTTTTTTTTTAGTTTTTTAATTTAGTTCTTATGTTTTTAAGATGTATTTTGATGGGAGAAAGAAAATCTATCTAGGAATTTTTAATCTCTGTCATTTCAATCTATTTAAGTTTTTCATAAGTATTGTTTTCAATTTTTCATTTTCATGGATTTCTGTTTTTCAATCTATCTATTTCTATCTATCTAAATCTATCATCTAATCTATCAAATCTATTTCATTTTTTCTTATTTTCATCTATCTATCTATCTATCTATCAATCTATTTATCTATCTTTCATATCTATCTATCAAGCTATTTAAGTCTTTTCATATCTATCTATTTCAGTTTTTTCATATCTATCTATCTATCTATCTATCTATCTATCTATCTATCTATCTATCTATCTATCTATCAGTATTTTGAGGTTTGATACGGATGGTTTAACTACAATCTCTATGATGTTCCTAGTGTCATGAAATTTTCCCTAAACTGTGATGGATTTTCGGTCTGTTTCTAGTGAGGTTGATGTCATGCTAACTTACATTTTTGAACAGGGTCTCAAGCTCATTTCGAATGAATATGTGAAGTCGCTAAACACCGTGGTCAAGCCTTAGTTGGTAACGGTTGTTGCTGGAAGACCATATGTGTCGCATCGAGATACAGTTTCCTGCCACACCTACAGGAAGAATCAGAAGTGGTTGTCAGATAATCTTTACGAATTCAACACCCACAACGTCTTCTCCACTAACGCCCTTGATTTTAATCCCATCGATTATTATGCGGCCCCAACAACACTGTTTGTAATACCAAGGCCCAGCTGATCGATAGGATTAAGGAGACATTTGAGGCGCTCTCTAGGGAGACCGTGAAGGTCGCATCTGTCAGATTCCGGAGTTGGATCGAGGCCATGGTAGATGCTGGGGTTGGTTTCTTTGAGTGAATTGTCTTTTAATTATTATAACCTGTGTTACACTTTTCTATTTTCCCAAAGAAATGACACTTGACTTAGACATTCACTTTGTTTTCCCTTAAAAAAAAAACCCTGTCAAATTTAACACGAACACCCTGTACATGGCAAGCCCTAGATGTAAAAGTCTGAACAGGTGGAACTAAGGAACGTAGCTAATCTGCACATTTGCCATGGAAAAGGCGACAGAGTAGGGATAGACTGGTGATATTTCGTCTGTAGAAAATGGTTGTAGGGTTGAAAAACAATAAACACCCGCAAGACTTAGTAAACGTTTTTGAACTTTGCCAAGTCTGGAAAGTGATGATTGTACAGCTCCAGACCAGATATAGCAGTGATACTCCATTTTTAACTTGATCCAACTCTTGTAAAGATAGCGCAGAGCGGGAGGAATCGGCTACTTTCTGGAGTGGCACAAAGGATCCGGTCATTGTTTCAGCATCTTTAGCAATAGATCGTATATTTGAGTTCCGCTTTAGATCTAGGTTGAGCTTGAGTCGTAGTAGACGTTCAAAGCAAGGAATCTCACTGAGAGAACAACCGCCCATCGTCAGTGGTGAGAATTCAACGTTTGCTCTGTGATGATAGAACGTTTAGCGTTTGTTTTTGGACGTATTGAACGTTACAAGCCAATCAGAAGAGAGATCAGGTGTCAGGCGCCGGTTATCTAGGTTTCGAGAGGAGCACCCATCAATTGTGGTATAACCTGCACAGACAATCTACATTATTTACTAATGACCTGAGAATGTTCATAGACAGATCGTTAATATAAAACAGAAAGTGTGTAGGACCGAAGAGAGAGCCTTCGGAGGCGCTTGCATTGATCTCATGGGCTTCAGGAGACTGGCCATTAACAACGACCTTCATGGACCTACACGATAAGAAGGATTTGGCACTTACGAAGACTCTTTGCGCATTAATACACTGTAGAGACAAAAATGTAACCCCCAAGACGCTCACACTTACAGATATGTCTCAATTGGATAAATTATGGTAAGGGTACTAATGAATATCGTAATAACTACGTTGTTTATGCATATCTCCTTTCATTTTGTGGTACACACACTCTCTCTCTCTATATATATATATATATATATATATATATATATATATATATATATATATATATATATATATATATATATATATTGATGCATGTTTCATTAAATAATTCCTTTCATATTACCTGATAAGCTTAATAACATTATCATTGAAAAATGAAAGAAAAACACCATATTGACACACCGAAAGCTTAGATAGGATTAAAAAAAAACATGTATCAACATGGTTTTTTTTTTCATCTTTCAATGATAATGTTATTAAGCTTATCAGGTAATATGAAAGGAATTTACTTAAAATAGATAAAACTTGTCTATATTATTTAATTAAACATGCACCAGCGAAAAAATGCGGCCTAAACACACACACACACACACACACACACACACACACACACAATATATATATATATATATATATATATATATATATATATAAGCATTACGCCCCGAGCAAGGCGTGAAGCCCCTAGGATGCAGGGGGTTGCAGAAGATTTGGAGCAAGAGCAGATAGGAGTGATAGAAGAAAGGATAAGGAGAGGGATAGTGGATAGATCAAGGTAACTGGAGATGTCGATTGACATTACATTTGAATAGTTGGAGATTATAGCTCTCAGGGAAACAGTAATTGGGAAGGGTGTTCCACAGGCGAGAAGTGCGAGGTATGAAGCTATTGGAGTAGAAGAGACGGCTACATTTAAGAGTTTTTACGGTGTAAGGGTGGGAGCGGGATGCCAGCCTCGTAAGGCGCTTGAATTCATGGAGTCTGGGAACCAGTGAAAGCAGCTCATCGGAGCAATTACCATGAAAGTATTTGTAGAAAAAGACAGAGAGGCGACGGCGCGTCTGTGAGAGAGTGACTGCAGACGAGACGCCAGATCAGGGCCAATTATATTACATATCCGTCTCTGGATCTTGTCAAGAACTCTGAGGTAAACAGAAGGTGCTCCAGACCATATATGGCAGCAATACTCCATGCAAGGGCGAATGGTTGTTTTGTATATTTGAAGTATAGATTCCGGGAGAAAAATTTCCTGGCGTGGCACAGAAAGCCAAATATATATATATATATATATATATATATATATATATATATATATATTTCTGCACATTATTGTTTAGCCACTCTTCTTTAGCCTACCTGCATTTGGTCCTTATTTCGTTGTGTATTTTTCTTTATTCCGTTCCGTGTCTTGGCAGAATTTTCTGTCTCATTGGCATCATGTCATCTATTCGTTTTCCTTCGTCCATTCTCCGTTGGGATGATATCGTTTACTGATGTCACTAAAGCACCTTTAAGTGTGTCCCATTTCGAGTTTCCATTCTATCCCTTGCATCTACTCTTCACATTGTCCATATAGTTTTCCTTCAGTTTCGGGTCAGCAAAAAGATGAGCCCGAAATTCAATTTACAGAGCGGGGACACTAAAATCAAGCAGGTGCGGCAATGCTTTGACAGAGGCACAGTAAATGCGACACTGTCATACGAAGACGTATTGGGATGGCCAAAGACACATTCCAAAAGCTAGGCAGAGTAGTGATTTTCCAAGCGTAGCTTAGCCCGAAAGTAAGGGCACCCAGTAAGGATCGAACTCACTACTCAGTCGTAACTGTTCTAGTGAGACAAGCTTGCTAACCATTACACCGCCCCGAGGTGCCCAAAGCTAGGCAGAGTATTACGAGACAGGAGGATTCCATTGGTAACAAAGAAAAGAGTACTGAGCTGCTACGTGATATCTGCCCTCTTTTACGGCAGAGAATGTTGGACGGTCTCCTCAAAGATGAAGAAGAGACTCGAGGCAACAGAGGTGTGGTTCTACAGAAGGATATTAAGGATATCATGGACCGAACATATGAGCAACAATGAGGTTTTGGAGAGGATGAAAACAAAAAGGTAACTCATACTTAATACCAGGAAGAGGCAGTTGAAATTTCTGGGAGACGTATGGAGGAAGAAGTGCTTAGAAAATCTGAAACTCACAGGGCGGATAGAGGAAAGGAACGTGTGAGATACTTAACGGGATGGCAGAACAGGATCTGGGAGAAATAAGAAAAAGTCAAAGCTTATTGAGGGCTACAAGGAACAGGGGAAATAGGAGAGCCATGATCGCTTACGTCCTGAAGGGACACGGCACATTAAAGAAGAATAACTAGGTTACTATTGTTCTATGGAAATCAACTCCTTATGACCTAGTTCAGCTCTGGCAAGAGGTGTTAACATTGGCATATATGTCATCAAAAAACTCCAATAGAAAATTATATATCTGCCATGTAGACCTGACAGCCACATACAACCACAACAATATAGGATTCCTTTGCTTCTTCATTAGGCACGGCCTTCCAAGCTCAGATTCAAATAATTTGTTAGAAAAATTATATCGGGTCACAAAGTCATGGATGTTTGGTGAGGACCCCAATCCCGAAACATTGTAAATGACACCTGGAGTACAACGAGGAGGAAATGAGAGTTCCAATTTATTTAATCTCTTCTTAGAATATGCTCTGCGCATATACAAGAACAGATATAAAGAGATGGGCACTGATTCCTTAAACATCACTTACCGTATCCCAAATGAATATACTAATTTAAAATAAGGTTCCTATTTCTTCACACACACACACACACACACACACACACACACACACACACACACACACACATATATATATATATATATATATATATAATGGAATGGATAAATATTCAAATGCCCTGTTTATAATAAACAGTATTAACGACATTTACCTGAATGTCCGAGAAATTTTCATAGAAAATATGCGTCCTCCGACAGAAATCGAACCTGTGTCCTACACGGAACCGTCATATAGCCTGACGTGCTTTACCAAGTTAGCCACAGAGGAACGTTTCGGTTGTAGTTTAAAAACAGTAAAATCGATCTTGCTAACCGGACATTCAGGCCGGTAAATGTCGTTAATACTGTTTATTATAAACACAGCATTTACTTAAATATTTGTAGCTATAAAAAAGAACGTATAAAAATAAAAATGTCTTAATATATATATATATATATATATATGTATATGTATATATATGATAAAATATGCTATATGATTATATAAGAAGTTATATATATATATATATATATATATATATATATATAATATATAAAAAGTGTATGCCTGCAGACATATCACTGTCTATGGCTTGTCTTTCCAGTTTCATTTGCAGGCAACTGTTCCAGGAAATGATATAACTTCTAGCAGATAGGGACCTTTTAAATCTTAGAGTTGCCAATAAGCTATTTAGGCTGGAATCATGAAAGAATGGTGCCTTTATCGTTTAAAAACACTGAGATTATCATATCCGCGGATGTCCAGTGAAACATCATTTGCTGATGCCTGTTATTTAAGGGTTAATTAAGAAATTAAAACAGAAACAAAGAATCAATCATTGAGTTCTTAACGAAAGAAGGACATAGTGCTGTTGACAATCACTAAAATCTCAGACGTGCGTATGGTGCGAAGATGGGAGAAACATTTAAAGACAAAACAAGCGTTGAAGGAAAACTGCATCGTGGAAGGCCCGAAAGAAGTTTTCCAAAGTGGATTTGACAAGTGGGTTCGAAAGTGGCACAAATGCATCGCCACGGGTGGAAAGCGTTTTGAATAGAATCGTGCTACTCCACATATGTATCTAGTTGCATATGTGTCACGTTAATACAGGAGTTATGACCTGACGAGCATTGCGTTCAGGATATCTATCTATCTATCTATCTATCTATCTATCTATCTATCTCTGTTTGAACCTATCTATGTCAGTTTATTTGTTAACATCAGCTTCTCTTTCAAAATCTTTCTCACTTCTCTCTCTCTCTCTCTCTCACACACACACTATGTCTTAATCTCTTTCTTTTCTATGTTTCTGTCTGTCTGTCTGTCCTGTCTGTCTCTTTGCTCTCTCTCTCTCTCTCTCTCTCTATATATATATATATATATATATATATATATATATATATATATATATATATATATATATATAGGGGGAAGACGTTTTAGTAGTTCAACGAGAGAAAAGTGTGCATAATAAAAAAAAAGAGAAACAGCAAACGTTTTTGGTTCTAATGTAAAATTATTGAAAATAAAGCATAATATACTTTTTAAAAAATCCACATTACAGCCAAAAACGTATACGGTTTCTCTCTTCCTTTTAATATATATATATATATATATATATATATATATATATATATATATATAAAATAGGTTTGAAACGGTACAAAAGCGTATTAAGGCATTAAAAACTGGAAATGTAGTATTGTAGGCCATGATAAGTTTAAAATAAAACACAACAGTCGACCGGTTTCATCCCCTCTCGTCAGAACTGTTAACGGGGAATTTAGATTATGAGGAAAAGAAAAAGTCTGTCATGGGTGACATGAATGAATGGACAGGGAAGGAAAAAAAAAAAAAAAAAAAATATATATATATAAAATTATACCAACCAAGCTGCTAGAATCGCATCACAGCAAGTCCAAGCAAACAATCTCTCTGTTTGCAAAGAGCAGGCTGACTAGACCTGATGTAAAAGCGACTCCAGCACCTTAAGATGGAAAAGTGAGTGCGAACTGGCCAAGACGGAAAACCAGTCCACACTGAAATCCATCGCACAAGTTGGATTCTTTATAAAATGATCCGCAATGGAAGACCCATACGTGTTACGAATGGTATCACCCAAAGAAAATTTTTTGTTTAGTATTATCGCAGGTACGTGTTGTTTAATTCTCACGTCCAACCGCTGTGTCGTTCTACCTATGTAGTCGCATCCACAACTACATTTGAAATAGTAAATAACAGAGTTAATATGGTGGGGGGGTAGAACATCTTTACACATAGATGAAAATATGGACTTAGTTTTTAAGACAACACGAACGTTCGCTGCAAAATAACACTCACGTGAACTACATGAAATACGCTTAGCGAAGGATTCACTAATCTTACCCAACCACGGTAAACGAAGATAGACCGGACATTTACCTACTGAAGCAGGTTTGATTTTGTTGAACCTGGCGGTCTCATCTCGAATAACCGATTGAACAATGTTCAACGGATAGCCATTGTTCACAAAGATCTCAGTTAAACAACTGATTTCATGTTTCAAGGTGTCATCCGAACAGATCATTAATGCCCTATGTGTCAGGGTCCTAATCAAATTAATCTTTTTGTTGTTTAGGACAAAAGGAGTCCCAACAGGTATATAGTCCTGTAAAAAGTAGACTTCCTGTACACAGAGGTAATAAACAAGGAAGGAGTTCTTTGAACAAGAACATCTAAAAAGGCAATGAACCATTGACCTCCTTATCTACTATAAATTTAAAGGGCAGGATGAACACCATTGAGTAGAGAAAAAATTGATCCACTTCCTGATTCATGGCTGAACACACAGAAAGTGTCATCAACATACCGAAAGTATACCTTGGGTCTGGCAGAACTTAAAAAGGCTTTCTTCATAAAACCCCACAAAAATATTTGCCAACACAGGACCCAGGGTCTTCCATTGCGGATCATTTTATAAAGAATCCAACTTGTGCGATGGATTTCAGTGTGGACTGGTTTTCCGTCTTGGCCAGTTCGCACTCACTTTTCCATCTTAAGGTGCTGGAGTCGCTTTACATCAGGTCTAGGCAGCCTGCTCTTTGCAAACAGAGAGATTGTTTGCTTGGACTTGCTGTGGTGCGATTCTAGCAGCTTGGTTGGTATAATTATATATATATATATATATTTTTTTTTTTTTTTTCCTTCCCTGTCCATTCATTCATGTCACCCATGACAGACTTTTTTCTTTTCCTCATAATCTAAATTCCCCGTTAACAGTTCTGACGAGAGAGGACGAAACCGGTCGACTGTTGTGTTTTATTTTAAACTTATCATGGCCTACAATACTACATTTCTAGTTTTAATGCCTTATATATATATATATATATATATATATATATATATATATATATATATATATATAAAATATGACATGGACTAAGTCCGACCATTATTCAATATATTTATGTTATACGTTATTTATATATACAAAAATATTTAAGTAAATGCTTTGTTTATAATAAACAGTAATAACAACATTTACCGGCCTAAACGTCCAAGAAATCCCATAGAAAATATACGTCCTCCGACAGGAATCGAACCTGCATCTTATACGGAATCGTCATATAGCCTGACGTGCTTCACCAGTTTAGCTACGAAGGAGCGTCTCGTTAGTAAAGTCGATTTTACAGCTTGTAAACTACAAAATTCCCATGATTTCCCTCGAATGTCCATATCTACTGGAAGCGTATCTTAACGTAAACAAATGACGTTACACCCGACAATTATTTAATATATTTTATTGTTCAGGCCGGTGAATGTTGTTAATACTGTTTATTATAAACAGAGCGTCTACTGTCAGTTTAACACGTCAAGCGATCTTCAGACCAAGTGTTTGACTCTATATAGAGGTCACTGGGAGCTAATGAGACGTAAAGGAAGGATAAAACCGACCCATTGGGAGAAATTATTCCTGTTTTCTTAACCGAAGCTTTCCTACGCATGTGTGTCTTTAAATTTAGGCAACGAAAATTTACCAACTTGCAATCATCCCTACTGCAGACACGAATGGAAAACCTAAAATCTCACAAAACTAAACTTTGGAAATGAAAGTCGAAAGAGCTCAGGAGACATTAAACAATTTATGTAAAAATTCGCTTCAGAAACCAGAAAGATGGTCCGGAATTTAGAAGAGCCAAGTAAACAATTTTTTTTTTCGAACTGACACAAATAAAAAATTCTGTCTAAATACCACCCCATATATATATATATATATATATATATATATATATATATATATATATATATATATATATATATATATAAAGGGTGTTCCAATAACTTGGACCCTTTAGAACTTAATTCACACACACACACACACACACACACACACACACACACACACACACTATATATATATATATATATATATATATATATATATATATATATATATATATATATGGTAATAAGTGAAATTAAACTATCACTTACCTTGCTCCTACTCTGATAATTGATGCTAAATGCTGAAATTGAGCAGGTGCAAAATAAGTGAATATTTAATTTAATTTTATTTTTTGGGTGAAACACAATCGTCATATATATATATATATATATATATATATATATATACACTTTTATTATAGGATATTACATTTAAAACATGCGGTTTTATACATGTTTGAATGTAATATCCAATAATAAAGAATATTGCTCCACTATTGGATTGTATTGAGCCCTATTTTAAATTAATGTTACGTACATTTGAATTTATACTTGATTCGCTTTCATTTCACACACACACACACACACACACACACACACACACATATATATATATATATATATATATATATATATATATATATTAAGACATTTTTATTAAAAAACATCAGGTTAGTCACTTTTATCGAACAGCACTGTATATATATTATTTTTCTATAGTATTCCTTCAAAGTCAGCCGTCGTGTAATGGTTAACGAGACTTGTATCATCGTCCATTACTACCTTGCAGGGATTTCGAAGCTCTGGGTGCCATATACAAAAATTCAGTATTAAATGACTTTTAATGTAATGTGTGTGCCGGCAAGGTAACAATACGTGCGAGTCAAAGATAACACGTTACTTGAATCGTTCATATTTAACATTAAGTTTTATTTATTCCAAAACTGCGGAAAAAATACTCTCGGCCAGTGCAGGGCCCACGGAGCCTCAAGTTTGGTAAGCGAAAACCTTACATTCTCGTTTGCGATGTGTGAGAGATTGACCAACTCCACTCTGGAGCGGTTGTTTATCTAACTGTCTAACGTTTTTTCTTTGTCGTGTTTTGTTTTTTGTTACGCGAGCACATATCATTCGCAGCCAGATTCACTGGTGTTCATATCCCCGGGTCTCCAATGACATCGTGTGATTCACGAATCTCAACCGCCCGGTTGGAGGTCTACTCCTTTCAATCAGGCACTTCGCCTCCCTGATAGCCCTGATATAAAGGTGGGTGCCAAGCCCATTCCAGCACGATCAAGAGCGACTAGGCGCACCTTTTATAATTCTAACAAGGGTTGGCATGTCGTAAAATTAACCAACACAACCTAACGTTCATTGTCAATGTACTTAACTCAATGTTTCATCGTAGATCATAAATATTAAACATTATAAAGTGAAATTTTCGTATCAAAATTCAGTTAATAAAAATGTCAGGCTACTTACTTACTGATCCACTCGCATATATATATATATATATATATATATATATATATATATATATATACTTGTAATTACAAGTTCATGAATATATATACGTGCGCCTATATAAATATTTATGAATTGAAGTGTATAATGCACGAATATGCACACACATATACTTACACGCAAGCGTGTGTGTGTGCGTACGTGCGTGTATATGTTCATTCTTGTATAATTACATTAGGCCCTCTGCAGTTTTATACAGATGCATGCCTACATAAATGCTGACAGACATCTTACCAACCACACTTCTCCGTACATAGTGCACGACCATCAAACGGATTTCGGTCTGTCTCGTTGATGTCGTATCATCTGAAAATAGAGACTCATTCTGATGGTTCTATAATGGCATCCCTTGCGCAAGCGCAAAGCGACTTTCTTAATTTTCTGTTCATCTCCCAAATCTTCTTTTTCTTTCTTTCTTGTTCTCTTCACTTTTTATCGTGTCTTTGTTTTGTTTGTTTGTTTCTTTCTTTCTTTGGAATTTATTATTCCTTTCAATTTTTTCTTCTTTTCCATTCAATTTTCATTTTGCTTTCCATTTAAGCTACCCCGGTTTTTCTTTCTTTTTTCTTCTCTTGACGTTTTTACATTGTATCCTTCTTTCTTTCTTTCTTTCTTTCTTTCTTTGTATCTACTTCCTCTTTTCAGACATTTACTTTTCTTTCTTTCTTTCCTCTTTCAGACATTTACTCTTTTCTTTCTTTCTAGACATTTACTTTCTTTCTCTCTTTCTACTTCCTCTTTTCAGACATTTACTTTCTTCCTTTCAATATTTCATGTTTTCTTTCGATTTTCTTCTTCGCTTCCATTTTACTTACCACGGCTTTTCTTTCTTCTTCTCTTCACTTTTTTTTTACATTGTATCTATTTTTCTTTCTTTCTTTCTTTCTTTCTTTGAATATTTCGTTTTTTTCTTTTAATTTTCTTCTTCGCTTCCATTTTAATGACCTCGGTTTTTTTTCTTTCTAGTTTTCTACAGGTTATTCATTCCAATCGATTCAGTTTGATTTCTCCTTCGATGTTCTTCATTTCTCTATTTCTGTTTCATCTTCCAACTTCATTCTAATCATTCTTCGTTGCTTTTTTCTTCCTCTTCCAATTTCTCTTTTTTTTCTTCGTGCCATCTCAATTTTATCTTGTTCTTCTTTATCAACCAGATTTTACTCTCTTTCCTTTCTCTTCGTTTTTATTCTACAAGTACGGAAGAGCAAGAAAGCGCATCAATTAAGAACGAAACTTCCCTCATTTCTTGCCTAACTTGGCCCGGATTAAAGGAACGCCACTTTCTCATGAATAAGGTAATGGCGAATTTGTGCTGGGCAGCGAACGACCACCGGTTTGCGCGGGAAAGCGAGGGAACATAGAAGCGGGAAGCTGTACGGAGATAGAGCGGCGTATTTAATGGTAATGACAAAGGTAGTGGCCGGGGTGACAAATGAAAAAGAAGAAAAATAATCACGTGACACGAAAAAGCGAAGGTAAAGGTAGCGCGGAAGGGAGATAGAGTGAGTGAAAAGGAGAGTGGATTGGGAGAGAGAGGTAAAGATAGAGAGATACTGAGATAAATAACTGAATAGGGAGAGAGTTGGTGGTTCATTTGAACGTCAGTATCCATCTACAGTACCCACTTCTAAACATATCCCCGTCTTCCTTTCTATTTCGAGGTCTTACTGCTGTAATGGTGGCATCGATCTTGCTGTCCATCGAACTTCTCTTTTCTTTTTCACCCTAACCCTCGTTATTCTCAGCTCCGTTACTTCGGATCAAGATGCCTGCTTCAGGATGACTTAGAGAAATTACATATGTATCTATAAACTGGGAGATGGCTGATAACGATCGCTTTGCTCTTTAAGAAGCAATGTTTTTGAAACAGCCATGAAACGCTTTCCTTTTCTTTTTTATCTCCTGTTTGCTTTCTGTTTACTTGTTCCATTTTTAAAATTTTTTATCTTTCACATCTTTTTTCTATCATTCTTTTTCCTTCTCTTAAATTTGCTTCTTTTCTTCATTACTCTTCTTTTTTCTTTCATCTCATTAACTCCATTCTATCTCTCTTTAGATTTTTCTTTCTTTCTTTTTTCTTTCTTTCTTTCTTTCTTTCTTTCTTTCTTTCTTTCTTTTACTTTCCATCCTATATTTCTTTGGATTTCTTTCTTTCTTTCTTTCTTTCTTTCTTTCTTTCTTTCTTTCTTTCAAATAATGAACTCCATTTCTTTCTGTCTTTCTTTCTTTCTTTCTTTCTTTCTTTCTTTCTTTCTTTCTTTAATCCCATCCTGTATTTCTTTGGATTTCCTTCTTTCTTTCTTTCTTTCTTTCTTTCTTTCTTTCAATTCATTAATTCCATTTCTTCTATCTTTCCCCATTTCTTTCAATTCATCAACTCCATTTCTGCTTTCTTTCTTTCTTTCTTGCTTTCTTTCATTCTTTCTTTCTTTCTTTCTTTCTTTCTTTCCCCGTCTTCTCTTTCTATTCATAATTCTTCTTACCTTTCTCTTGATGGCGCCATTTACAACACTTTTTCATTTTCTTTTTCATATGTTCTTTTTTACTCGACGCTTTATTCTTGTCCCTTTCTATATACAATACTTTCTTGTCATGGGACATTTATTCTTTCTTTTCTTATTTTCCTTCATTTCCATTTACAAAACTTTTTCACTCTCTAGCGTTCATTTTTCTTTCTTTCTTTCTTTCTTTCTTTCTTTCTTTCTTTCTTTCTTTACACCCTCTCTTCTTATTCTGGTTCTTTTTTTTCCCCTTTTCCTTCTACTCTTAAGTTTCTTTTAGGATTCCCTTCCTTTTACATTTTTCTCTTCTCTTTTAATCTATGATCCCGTTTCTTGTTTTACCTCTTGCCTTTTTCATTTTATCCTTTTGCTCATTCTTCCCTATTTTTTCCATTTTGTTTCCCGGCTTTTCTTTTTGCTTTTTGCTTTCTTGCTTTCTTTCCCATTTTCATCATTTTGACTTTTCAAGGTTTTTTCCTTTTAATTGTCTTTCGCTCTCAACTTCCATTTTCCTCGCCATCAGTTTTTCTATTGGTCTGTCTCTTTTGGAAACTATTTTTTAATTCGTGATGTTTCATTTCTTTCTATCTTCTTCTTATTCTGATTTACTTTCTATACGATGTTTTAATATTTTCGCACTCTTTTGCTAATATTAACTTCTTTCTTTCTTTCTTTCTTTCTTTCTTTCTTTCTTTCTTTCTTTCTTTGCATTTTGATATCCTATTATTATTCTTTTCCTCTTAATAATTTTCTATGTTTTAAATTTTACATCTATCTATCTATCTATCTCTCTATCTATCGCAACCTGTTCGTATCTATCTATCTATCTATCTATCTATCTATCTATCTATCTATCTATCTATCTATCTATCTATCTATCTATCTATCTATCTATCTATATCTGTTCGTATTCTATCTATCTATGTAAGTCAATCTGTTCATATCTATCTATCTATTTATCTATCTATCTATCACAATCTGTTCGTATCTATCTATCTATCTATCTATCTATCTATCTATCTATCTATCTCTTCGTATCTATCTAAGTCTATCTGTTTCATCTCTATCTATCTATCTATCTATCTATTCTATCTATCTATCTATCAATCTGTTCATCTATCTATCTATCTATCAAAATCTATCTATCTATCTATCTAAGTCAATCTATTCTATCTATCTATCTATCTATCAAAATCTGTTCGTATCTATCTATCTAAGTCAATCTGTTTATTATCTATCTATCTATCTATCTATCTATCTAAGTCAATCTATTTGTATCTATCTATCTATCTCTCACTCTATCTATCTATCTATCTATCTATCTATCTATCTATCTATCATTCAAAGTTTTATATAATGTTTGTTATTTTCATGCTACATTTATTCTTTTTTTCTTTCTTTCTTTTTCTGTGATTTTTGTATGAATATGCTTTCTTTTCTTTTCTTTCAAATCAACTTTTTGATTTACGGTTGCTTCTCTTACTTTTGATACATTTCGTAAAAATGTTCTTACAGTGGGTTTCTTTCATTCGATTTATCTAAAATAGTTATTACATTACTTTTTATTTATTCTTCAATCATTTTATCTTTAGCACATAAATACCCTCTCCTCCGTTTCTCCCTCCTTCCTCTCTCTTCATTATTTGTCTCCTAACCGCTTTCTGCTTCCCCCACCTTCCATCTTCTTTCTTTTGACGAAGACCTCCATCTTATAAATATGGAAACGAGGCCATATTTACCGCTACTGATGATTTGGGGTTTACAACAAACGTGGGGATGGTGTGCATCATTTCGGCCTGTCATAAGCAGACAGGAAACTCTGTCCTCATGAATACCGATATGACATATCGAACACACACACACACACACACACACACACACACACACACACACACACACACACACACACACACAATGATAGTTCTGGGGCGGCTGACGGGTTATCTCGCGAGAAAGTTTCTTTGTACTACGTCTTTTTTCCTTGCGGTGAATAAGATGGGGGAGATCCGAGGCAAATGGAATGAAAATAAAAAAAAAAGAATACCAGATTTAATGCCATGTTTAACAATGCAAAAATTAAAAAAAAATGTTACTACTATTTTAAACAAATATTATTAGTGTGTTCGGAAAGTAATAACGTTTTATCAGAAAGAATTAAAACCAAATGGAATTTGATTTTATTTAAATATTAATAGGTCCTTTGGAAAGTAATGACGTTTTACCAAAAAGAATATAAGAACAAATGAAAATTAATTCTATTTAAATATTATTAGGATGTTCAGGAAGTAATAACGTTTTACCAGAAAGAATATAAAAAAAATAGAATCTAATTTTATTTAAATATTATTAGTGGGGTTAGAAAGTAATAACGTTTTACCAAAAAGAATATAAAAACAAATAGGAATTAATTTTATTTAAATATTAGGGTGTTCAGAAAGTAATAACGTTTTACCAGAAAGAATTAAAAACAAATGGAACTTCATTTTATTTAAATATTATTAGGGTGTTCAGAAAGTAATAACGTTTTACCAGAATGTGTTATTTTTCCTGTGTTTGTTACAGAGAGTCAAACCTTACAATTCCATGCTGAATGATAACACATTTTCTTACTGAAGCATGACAATTTAAACGTATTGCTTGGTTTACGTGACCAAGTTGTCTTGTAATGAATCTCTGCTATGTGGTCCTTCCCTACTTCAGTTGTTCGTAATGGACGACAATTGTCATATTCCACCAGACATAAAGCAAAGACATCTGCGGATGGAATCTTGGTTTTGCCGATGGCACTGGTTTACTATTTTGTGATAACCACTGTTTTTGACGTTTTCTCTTAGCACGTAAACCCATATTTCATCCTCCATGCGATGCAAAAATGAATGAGAAACCTAAATTCTCTCTTTGTGAGTTTTCCCAATTCGCTCGTGAATTGTCTTACGCCTTTGACTAGCTAGTATTTAATCTAATTTCTCAGTAAGTTTTCCCTATTAAATGCTAAAAAAAGGTTTTTAATGTTTATTTTTCCTTTTCTTATTTTCATTTTTCGAAGCGAAGCTCTACTCAGGCAAATGGTTGAGTCTAACTCTTTAGGTCTAGTCACTGGATCTAACCAATTCACCACGGGTTGTGAGTTCAATATCAGGCTACAGTGATCCCCCCCCCGCCAAAAAAATTGGAGAGTTGAGTTAAAGGGACATAACTGAGACATCCACAAGATGGATGCCAAGTGCAGTTGCCATTTAATAGGCAGGTTACGTTCCTCTTCTTTTATTGCAAAAATTATTCAATGAGACATGTCTTAATGAAAATATACGCAATATATATATATATATATATATATATATATATATATATATATATATATATATATATATATGTATGTATTAGTGAATATACA